TAAATAAGAAAATCTTTTAATGCCTAGTATAAATGCAATAATCATGTAAAAAAAAAAATAAACAAGGGGAAATTAATCATACTATAAGATCTCCATCGGGATGCTCCTCAAAGAAGGCATCATAAATGCCTATCATGTGATATGTGTAAGATCTCTATGAGAGAGAAATCCATGAACTTATGCTACTTTTAAATCTTTCCCATAAGTCACAAACTAAAAAATTTTGTATTTCTCTTTAAAATACACCATGTTAAATAACTTGCATTACTAACCTAATACTACAAAATAGGTTCATAGTATATATCATATAGATAAAAACCCTTGATGTTTGGTTGAATTTCAAACCATCCACAACCTCTGCTCAAGCACCACCAAAGGCAAAAAATGCCTCATTTGAGATCCTATGCAACTATATTTGGGATCCACCTCAATAAAAAAAAATGAGGTGATTCCGAACAATCCCCCCCCCCCCCAATCGACACCCAACTTAAGGTAGTAGCAATAAATTCTAAATCTGCTCTGAACTCACTCCAAGCTAAGCACTCTAAGCTCTTAAAGCACTTACGGTTAAGCATTGCACAATCTTGTAAAGCACAAACAAAGCCTGATCTAAGCACATCAAGCAAACATTACATAGTAAGATAGATCCACCAATGCTTAAGGTGCCCTTTCCAATGAATCTATGTAGCCCTGAATTGATATATCCTTGCTCTAAAATATTGTACTGGTATGATCTGGCACTGAAAATAATTATGCAATGTTGATTATGAAATTGAAGATCAATCCAACTAATCAACTCAAATAGTCATCCCTTAAATTGTCCCCTCTTTTTTGAAACTCAAACTATTGCAATGAAGAACCTTTACCTATTTTCTCAAATCGAGTAGCTCCAACACAAATCATTATGAAACTAAAGCAACTTAAGTAAAAAATGTGCCCTAAAACCCATAGAGTTCATCAACTCTCTTAGTCTTCAGAACAATCAATGCATCTTTACATAATCTAAGAATTTTAATATCTATTAAGAATTACATCCAGCTTCATTAAGATTATTCATATATGGTTTTGCAAAAATGATGTATACAAATTTCATAACTTGAATATCTACTAAGAATTTACATATATATTAATAAATATTATTCAAACATGGTGTTGCGAAAATACGTCTAAGACGAAGGTAAATAGCACAAGATAAACAAAGCTTGATCTTCTTCATCGACCAACACATTTACATTCCCAGTGGCGGAACCATATAATCCTTATAGGGGGCAATTGCCCCCCCCCCCCCCCCCTCTCAAAATTGAAGCTGGTTCCACCCCTATACATTCCTCAAATTCTTAACAATGGAACAAAATTCATCAAAAATGACTTTCTAGCACACCTTTTTGCAGGCAAAGCAAGTATAATCTATATTTTAGATAAAATTTATTGGATGGGCTATTGGACATATAAAAGGTTCTAACTTGAGCCTTGACCCTGTCAGATATGTGATTATTTCCTTAAAGGCCTCTATGAAGACATCATATGCCAAACATAATTGGATTGTTGAGAGAATTTTCTTAACCATCAATTCATGATCTTCTCTCTAACAATGTTTGAATACCACATGAACTCTTATGCAAGTCCCTAAGAGATTAGTCACACCTTAATTTTTTAAAGCTGAAAAATCTTTAAGCAATAAAATTTCCTAATCTCATAATTTGTTTGAATCATCATTCCAAATTTTATATGCCAACTTGTCAGGAAAATAAGCTTTTCTAATACTAATAGTTAAAGCAAACGATTTGTTTACATGGCACCTGTTAGGGATGAATTCAGTAAGCATAAGAAGAACAAAAGGGATCAAACATAAGAAAGAAATTAAGAGTTATGGGGTATGGCAATAACCTGCATCCAATGGAGAGGAAAGGAATTGGTCCTTTATCAAGAAGTTTCGTGGGTGTGAAAAAATGGTGTATAAAAAACACTATTAATCCCAATGCAACCAATCTAACCATAATAATAAGCCTCAAATCTCTCAAGACAACAAATTAAAAAAATAAAATCTTAGTATTATGTAGAATATATAAGAGCCACACTGACAGATCAACGAGCAAAATAATATCAAAATTAATATACCAGATGTTCCTTGAACATGATACAATATAATTATTGTTGATACACAATGCATGAGATGAATCCTAGGAAGGTCATTGTCCCCATCATACTTATCAGCAACATAAGTATAATTTTAGGATCATTATTACCAAACATGCCATAACACCTGATGGGGACATCAGCAGCGATTTTGACACATGTACCTCCAGGAGATGCCGGAGATCGACGGCCACGATCATGATCTATATTTTCATCATTTTATGTAGTAGTTTATTTTATTTTTTGTAGTAATCTATTTTTATTTCATGTTTTTCCGTTTTTGCCCTTATGGGTATTTGATAGTTATTGTAGCCCAAGGGACATTTTAGTACTTTACTTTCTTTGTCATTTTGAGGCCTATTTATATGGCCATTTTCTCATGTAATAGTTTAGCTTTTGATGAAATGAAAATTTACCATTATGTGCTCTCTTTGTGAGTTCAAGAAGATCTCTTGGTGAGTTCTTCACCCTCCTCGATCTCTTAGTGAGTTCGCCGGAAAAGACTAGATCTCTTTGTGAGTTCTAATTCGTGCTAACTAATCTTGTGGAAATTCAACGAGAAGACATTTGAGGTTAGTAAATTAGTAGTCGTCAAATCTTCGGAAGCTTCCATCTCTTTTCCTCCTTGCCCTTGCCGCCGTTTTCTCCAAGCAACCCTAAGCCGCCGGCCAACTTGCACCTCCCTTCCTATTTCGCCGGCCAGCAAAATAGCCACCACCGGCCGGCCACCCACCGGCCAGCATCCGGCCACCCGCCGGCCAGATCCACGCCGGCCAATCCAATCTGCTCACCTGTTTTCAAAATTTGAAATCCCATGCCAAGGCTTTAATTTCTTTCCTATTATACATCTCCTTCTATTAGGAAATTTGGCCTATTTTTATTTCTTTTCATTTAACGTGAAATTCCCAACAGCTAGAAACTAAAGCCATTTAGGAAATTTTTCCTATGTAATGAATCTGAGAATCAAGTCTCAGATTTGTTAATTCCGTAAGCTTATCAAGAGAGGCCACGTCACTATTTTGATTGCTCTCCTCTCTCCATGGGGCCGGCCACCTCCTCCTCTTTTCTCTTTCCAATCCACACTTAATCAATAATTAAATTTCTCCTAAATACCTCCCCATCTATCACGGGATTTCAGTTTTTATTTCAGATTTCAAATCTGAGATTTGAAAACAAAGCTTCCCTATTTCCTCTAAATTAAAACTAAAATCAGATTTCAGATTTCTTCCCTCCCACTAAATAACATCTCTTTTCCTTCTCCCTCCACCACCCCAAGACCGATCACCTCCTTTTTCCTCTCGGGGACTCCTTCAACCCTAGGCAAGAATGCATGGCGGACCCCGAATTTGAATGGGGACTTGTATTCGACACTCACGGCAACCTCGACATCCAACGATCGCCGTTCTTCGACGCGGGATTTGATTCCGACGACGATACCGTTGGAGCCTACTTGGATCGGATCCTACCGACTCTCATAATCATCATCGACAAACAACGTCCCGACTCCGAGTGGATCATTGACGGCCGCCCACCCGCTCCTCCACATCCGGCTTCTTTCCCGGCGACGAGTCCTCTCAAGATCACTTGTCTACTAGTAGCATCGCTAAGCCTAATTACGATTCTCCTCCGCTAGCCACCACTTTCAAAACGAGTGACAGACCTCAAGGTGAATAATCTAGATCTTAAATTTGGGGCTTTGTTATTCTTAGCTATTTGCATTACTTAAAATATTTAATAGTTATTTTGCAAGTTACCGTAATCTCTACATGTGATCTATTGCCGTTGCTAAATCTCTCAACCTCAAATTCTTAACTCAATCTTGAGCAAGCAATGAGTTAATTATTAGCAAGATAAATTCCATCGCTCTTATTAATTTCTCAAAGGCAATTCTTGTTCAACCGCATGTGGTTTCACATCATATTTGGTATCAGAGCATGGTTTGCTCTAGTTTTGCATGCTAGACATCATCCTAGGAGTTGTTTTAACTCGTTTTACACGTTGTTACATGCATGCTATCATTTAAATCAGTTTAGTTACATTTTATGCTTGCTTTCCACTGCATTCCTGCATGCATTTAAAGTTTGTTAAGCTTGCTTATCAATGGTTCAAGTGCTGTCCTTAACCTATCCGCTTCATTAGTTGTCTAGGTTTCTTAAACATTTTATGGTTTGCTGTCCACACAAAATCTGCACCATTTAGTAACCATTTGGGCTAGATTTAGGACTCTTTCACTTGCTGTCCACGCTCTACAGTCCACCCAAATGGCTTAGGTGACTTCGTCCTCCACATTAGTTTGCTGCCCTACTGTTTCCCGCACCCTTTGGAGTATGTAGGAGTGTTGTTTTAGAGTGTTTAGGTGCTGTCCACTTCCTAAAACTCTTCCTAAACACTTAGACAACTTTATGCCATGTTTAACTTCCAATTTCCATTTTATTGTTTTTTTCATAGATGTTTAAACTTCATTTTCCTTGGCCCGTTGAGCTGATCAGTATCCAAGACGCAGGAAAAATATGTCCTCAACATCAACATTTTTGGACAGAAAACCCTCCCTGAATACTTAAAACACTTCATAATACAGTATGGCCACAATGCTGTAATGTGCCCAATAGGACCATGAAATCTGGCTAAACCATATTATCATTCGCTGAAGAATTAACATGATGCTGAACCTCATGTTCTCATGATCGATAACATTGCCGTAGATATTCAACATGACATCCATCGAGTGTTTAGAGATTTCACTATTCACCAGAACAATTAAGCCTTGAAAAAATAAATGAAAGATACAAAAATCTACAGGAACTTAGAAAAGAACACAAGTAGCTCCCTCATATTCAACAAATGCAGAGAAAGAAGAAGAAAACCTGGTGATCAATGTCAGAAACATAGACAGTCCTTCTAATTGTATCTTCTCGTTGAGCCATACTAGTTCGGTTGTTCATCCGTCTTTTCCCTTGACTGTAACCATTCTTCCCCTGTCAAAACAAAAAAAGAGTTAAAGGAAACATCAGAAGAACTAAGAAGTAATAAGTTAAAAGCTCAAAAATCATCAGGATATTTCAAGGCTCTCACCCGCCTACCACCATTTGTATTGACAGCATTGGGATAGCCGCCGTTTGGATAACCGCTGTTCGGATATAAATCATGTAACCCGCCGTTGTTAGAGAAGAAGCTGCCACCGTCCCCAAATCCCTTGGATGCATGGTTGATGTGCGATGGTGGCACAAACTCCGCAGCCATGGGGTTCAGCTTAGATAGCAGCTCCTCCAGATCCCTCATGTCCTGTTTGAACCCATCCTCATCGTTTCCTCTGCTAACGCCATTGGGCAGCTGAGGCGTCGGCGCGGCCGCCTTCCCAGGCCGCTGTTGAGCCATCGGCGGCTTGAAGACCTTACGTTGGAAGTCCGTGAAGGACGAGTCATGGTGTGGCCGCATCAAAGGAACAGTGATCCGCGCCTCTCCCAAATAGTCAATCTCCTCCTCTTTCGCCCCAACGGCGTCGACTTCGCGGCTCGAAGAAAGATCTGAGCCGTCCGTATTCTCAACCACCGCCATGATCGGACCCGATCGCCGATGGTTCAATCGCTGCTGCACTTCAGACGACCACGATGCGACTAAAGTAGTAGCATCCAGGACCCTTAACTTCGCATTCCCAAACCGCCGGCGATTCGTCCTCTATGGATCATCGGGCTACGTGCCGGGGCTAGGCGCAGATGGAGAAGCCTGCGAGGGCTTCAATGTGCGCACCGCTCGTGATTCAGAAATAAATGCAAGGAACGCTAAGCACAGATGGAGGTGAAGAGGAGAAAGGAACAGGAGGGCATTGGACTTGGAGCTTCCGTTGAATCTGCTTCTGCTGATCAATTTGAGTATTTTGAAATTTCTTCTTCAAAAATAGAAGGTTTCTTCCTTTGAAGAGTTCTTTGTCGCTTGCTATGGGCTCTCCACCGTTAGAAAGGAAAAGGAATTGACAAGAAGAGGCCTTTAATCCCCGTGTACGAAATGATGAAAGGGCACGTGGCGAGAGATCAGTGGCGTCGGCTTGTAGGAAGTATTCGACCATCCGTGGTGGAAGAAATCGCAAGATGCGGATAACCGTGCAGTCAATGAAACTCCTGGCACTCTCATAATTACTTAAGGCTTCTTTTTTTTTTTTTTTTTTGGCCAAAAAATGTCCGATAGACTTTGCTTATTCAAGGTGAAACTTCCGCCCAAATGCCCAACAGAAAGAAAATAGATGGTAAATTTTTTGAAAGGGTAATTTACGTAAATATCATTACTTTTTTATGTAATTACAAATTCTATATTTATATTTATTTATATAATATTTTGTGTCACGTTTTATGTCAGCCCGACATAAAACACAACAACAATGACCTCCCATAACCTAAATTACTATATTAATTATGATACAAGAGCTAACTGCATAATCAGAGAAGAAGAAAATAATAACTTAGAACATTAATTATAAGCAAAAACATTTACTTTCATTTACATTGTTTTTATAGAGCATCTATCAAAATCTCAAAACGCTACTAATCTCAAAAGACTTCATACATAATCAAAAGATATAAATAAAATACAAACAGAACATGACTCTATTGTGGTTCAATCCTCTCCTTTTCTTGTCCTACAACAATCATAATGATCATCTGATGAGCAACATTGCCCGAAAAGATATATAACTCTAATGCAATGGTCACGTATAGAAAATAAGACTTTCAAGTGTATCAACAAGTGAATGCAAGAACATTGTTAATTATCACTACAAATGAATTATGCATAATATATCACAAAATAACATGTAAAAATACTATTACACATACACTTTTATGCTGAGTTTTATATTAATTTCATGACATCAAGAAGGTCGCATAAAAAAAAATGATATATTTTTTTGTACATTTTATCATATCGATTGTTTTTTAATGTGTCTCTCACATTATCATAGGTCAAGACATTTAGGTTTAGGTCTCCAACCTATAGTTTATTGAGGTCACACTGCCTCTTGAGCTCTCTCTATCTTTATTGCACATAGGGTTACTAACCAAGGCCGCATTGACTCTACTAGGTCACACTGGCCATCAAGGTCGTATTGTCCTATTCGCCTAACATGTGACATAACAACCACCAAAATTTATATGGATCTTAGATATTAATGTTTGGGTTATGTGATATAGTACAAACAATTATAAGTGAAAAGTTGTATAGATTATCATTCTATGAAAAGTCCAAAAAATAAAAAAGATGAAGCCATATGTAACCCACAACTAATTCAATTGCAGGTATATAAGTAATACTCAATAATTCACATATTGCAATAAAAATACGTATCTTGCCTCTATGATGCACTGCCTCACCTAGTCGGATTCCTCATGTTCGTGTATGAGTGTAAGGCACCTTCCAAATTTCCTTTCGCATGAATATCTAAAGCTAATTCCTCATTGTTTTCCTCTTAATATACAAAACCATGAATATAATTCCATTAATGATAATTACACAATTATACTAAATTAGAGTATAAAATAAATTTATTATAATCACTCTCACTCAACTGCTTTTGTTTTTGCTCCCACTAGACAACAACATTCAATAACTTCTCTTCATCCTCTTACCTTTCTAATCAACCCCTTATTTAACACTTACTTCTTCCATCTACAGTAACAAATACATTTCCATAATTCACATATTGCAATAAAAATACATATCTTGCCTCTATGATGCACTGTCTCACCTAGTCGGATACCTCATGTTTGCGTATGAGTGTAAGGCACCTTCCAAATTTCCTTTCGCATGAATATCTAAAGCTAATTCCTCATTGTTTTCCTCTTAATATACAAAACCCTGAATATAATTCCATTAATGATAATTACACAATTATACTAAATTAGAGTATAAAATAAATTCATTATAATCACTCTCACTCAACTGCTTTTGTTTTTGCTCCCACTAGACAACAACAATCAATAACTTCTCTTCATCCGCTTACCTTTCTAATCAACCCCTTATTTAACACTTACTTCTTCCATCTACAGTAACAAATACATTTCCACCGTCTCCCAACAACATCAGATTCACTTACAATATCTATTCACAGCAGCAAACTCACATACAACAAATCCAAATAGCAATCAACTCACCCACAACAACTCCCAACAGCAGTCAGCTCACTCAAAGCAACTCCTAACAATAACCAACTCATCCAAAGCAACTCCCAACAGCAGCCAACTCACCCAAAGCAACTCCCAATAATAGCCAACTCACCCACAACAACACCAAACAGTGGCAGACTCATCTACAACCTCTCCAAACAACAACATTATCTCCTATAACCTCTCCTAACAACATCATATTCACTCTCATCGTCTCCTAACAACAGTATAATCACCTACATCATCTCCTAATAGCAGTATAATCACAAACAGCCTCTCCTGACATCAGCATAATCACCTACCAAAATCTGTACTAAAATGAGTACTCATAAAGCACTTACTTTGAATGCATCCTCAATCCTCCCCTACATCTACTAAGAGCTCCACCTCCTTCGACAAGTCTCCACTCCAGCTCCTCTTGCGACCACTAGCTAAACTGAGAGTTTTCCCAATGCCTAACAAGGTTTGTAATGAAGTGCCAACAAAATACTTAAGGAAAAAAAATGAAATTCCTTAATTGCCCCTTCCCAACAATTTGCATGCAAGACACCTATTAAAAAGTTTTACCCTTGCAACAGAACTTTAATTTTTAAACAGTTACATAATTTTAACTTAGGGAAAAAATACAATTTAGATTTAATTCGCTATCTCTCAAATCCATCACATTTTGGCATAAGATGATATATATCAAAATGCTCAATTGGACAAGTGAACACAATGACATACAATTTATTAAATTTCATGATTGTTGAGATTTTGGGATATTTCAAATTGAGTAAAATGTGGCACATACCAGATTAAATGTGGGTTTTAAAAATCTCCCCTCCTTATTAGAATTTCATCCCCAAAATTTGCCACATCAAGCTTTAGTAAACAAGAAAGGAAAATTTTTATCTCATCTCTACTTCTCTTTCCCATGAAGCTTGTTTCAAGGGTAGATGCTTCCATTTTATCTTGACATACAAAATAGTTCTACTTCTAAATTCATGAACATTAAATTATAATATCATCTTGATCTCCTCTAAAAATGTTAAGTCGTTCTATATCTCAATGTCTTCCTTATACATTTTATGTTATTCATCACTTACCATATATATATATATATATATATATAAAATACATTGTGAATCTTAGACATATCTACAGATAATGCCAAACGATAGATAACCTTTCCAATTCTTTCAACGATTTCAAATAGCCCTATACATCTTGAACTCACTTTCCTCTTTAACCAAATATAAAAATACCTTTCATTAGTCAACCTTCAAAAATATAAATTCTCCAACTTAAAACTCAAGATTTTTATGTTTGGGATCATAATACTTTTGTTGATGATCTTATGATACTTTAATCTATCCCTGATCAATCTAATTTTCTCAGTGGCTTTATCACCTAATTGTGGACCTAATAACTCTCTTTCTCCAATTTCAACCCAACTTAGGTGAGTTCAACATTTCATTCCATACAAGGCTTCAAAAGGAATCATTTTAATGCTAGACTGATATCTATTATTAAAAACATATTAGATCAAAGAAATATAATCTTCCCAACTACCAAAAAATCTAAAACACAGAACCTTAGTAAGTCCTCCAACGCTTGAATAACTTTTTTCGATTGACCATCTAACTGCGAATGATATATTGTACTGAAATTCAATTTAATACCCAACCCTTCATGAATACCCTTCTATAGTAGAGATGTAAATTAACAAACTCTATCAGATGCTATAATTCTAGGAATCCCATACAATATAATAATTTCCTTCATAAATAATTTTACCAATTTATCTACTGAATGTAATTAATGAATAGGTAAGAAGTAAGCTAACTTGGTTAACCTATCAATTATCACCCATATACAATTATGCCCTTGCATAAATCTGAGAAATTTTTTAACAAAATCTATAGCTATGTCCTCCCATTTCCACTTAGGTATAAACAATGATTGTAACAATCCACTAGGCTTCTAATGTTCAGCATTTACTAACTAACACTTTTTATATTTTACCACAAATTTAGCCCTATTCTTTTGCATTCTAGGGCACTAGAAAATTGGTTTTAAAATTTATATAATTTTATACTATCGGGGTGAATTGTATAGCCTGAAAGATGACTTCGGCTAAGATTTCCTGAATCAATTAAGAATATCCATGATCCTTGTGGCGTCCCTTAATTACTTCAAATTAATGAATAATCATCAAGGCTAAGATCTTGTCTTTTTCCTGAGTGAATCTGATCCAACATTTTCTAGCATTGCTCACTTACTATCTATGCCTCCCATATTCTTTCTTCTAAGGTCGGTTGTATTAACATTTGATATAGACTACAAGAAACTTGATTAATATAAATAATAACTAGCAAAAGCAACTAAAATCATATACATCAAAATATTTAATTATTTATTCACCTAAAATATCATTTACACTAGCAAGGAGATCACTCTACCAAAAAATAAAAGAAAATACATAATAAAATTTTAAGAAAATTTTGAGGATCTCTAACAATCTCACTCTAATTGGTTATGGCCGCTTTCCTAACTTAAAATTATTAAAAATCTATGTAATAAGCTCATAAGCCCAACAATAAATCAAAATTCACTAAAGCTTTTAATGCAATGACTAAAGAATCAAAATGATATGCTCAATCAAATATAATCAATAACAATCAATGTAGTTAATGATCAAATATTATCAATAAAAATCAAAATGATCAATAATAAAAATAGGGAATCATTATAATAAATCTAAAAAAATGTATTTAAAAAAAATGATTTCAATACTGTGCCATATCGGAGAAGAGAAAGAAGGTT